ACCACACTAGGCAGTGTGGTCAGTTCTCTAGCTCTACTGAGAACTCAGGCTGCTCTCTTCCAATGAAAACCATTTATCACTTTCTTTGCACTTCCCAATTATGTGCCACTTTGTGTTGGTCTATACACATAAAATCCCAATAAAATACATTTACGTTTTTGGTTGTAACATGACAAAGTGTGGAAATGTCAAGGCGTATGAAGGAGTAATTGGTGAACAGCGCAGCATTCCTTAAATTATTTTTATTTCTAAACACATAATTGCCATAGAGAATACAAATCACCTATAGCATTCCATGATCAAGAAAGCTTTCAAACAGCTTAGGCTTAGGGCATGAACACTTGTGGTTCCCAAATGTAAAAAAAATATAAAAACCATGGCAGCCCCCCCTCCCCCCCCCCCACTCAGTTTAAAACTAGCTTTAAAACTAGCAGCGGGAGTCTTAGCCAATGAGGAGGGAGAGTCCCCTGAGGACTGAAGCTCTTGTGCACATCGCTAGATCATGATGGGACTCAGGTAAGTATTGGGGGGCTGCTGCACACAGAAGTTTAGAATGCATGAAGGTAAAAAAGCTTAAGGCTTTACAATCTCTCTAATTACTGTACTGGAGCTTGGATCTCCTCTCTGTTCAAAAGAAAATGTATACGATGGTTGTAGCTGTGTTTGTCTTTGTCTAGTTAGAGGAGCTGTGGGGAAATCTTGTGCGTGTACTACATTTTACTGTTATGTATTTATATACTTCCTTTATTATTGATCTCTAAATACAAGTGATCGGTAGCATCCCCATACCTCTGTCTCTACAGATTCCCTTTAACAGGAACCCAATAACTTGGGCGTGATCTAACTGGCACTTGGTCAAGACAGGTAAGGCTCGAATACCACCTAGGTGCGATACTTTCTAGAAACGTATAATCTGCTCAGTTTTATGTTCTCAAGAAACCTTCCGCAGAGCTGAAAATGTGAGATAGCGGTATATATCTGTTTTAACAATCCTATTGGATTTTTCCATGTAATGCTTTTCACGGGCTTAAACTAATGGAGTGTGAAGAAAAATTACCTTTCACAGAGGAGGGGATGCTTAAGTGAAAAAGTATAGCCTGATATTTTTTTTTTCTAACTGCGGAATTTATATCATCTCTACTTAATCTTGGCAAATGATGAAAGAAATATCGACACACACAGGAGAGCAGTTAACATTCCACAGTGCTCTTTCTTCACATATTTATTTCCTTACTTTCTGGAGCACAACAAATGTTAAAGATAGAAAGCAAGGCCAGGAGATAAGGAGCAACATGTAAAATCAATTGGTGAACTCCAAGTGCTACAGTAAGTCCAGGACGCTCTATTAAAGTCAGAAGGTTTGCGATAAGTTCAGCAGCACCGGCTGGGCTGCAAGAAAGGAGGAGGAGTCATAGATCAGGAGGGTGTAGGGAATGAGGTTACTAAAAGGGTTGAGCACATTTGAGCGTCTTGGGACCAGAGAACAATGGTAGGCATAAAAGTTTGACCGACTCTAATTTAGATGTTGTGAAAGATGGTAGTTGGTGGAAGGGAGATTGGTGTTGATCAGGTAGTCAAGTGAATCAGAATTATTTGTCACAGCATTGGCTGCTTCTGCAATGTTGTAGATATATCAAGCTTCTCCAAGCCACTTCTTCCGTTTTGATGAATGAAGAAATGATTTGGATAATCTATGAAACATCTTCAAAATTACAGAACAATCCAGTTAAATGTGACTACTAATTACTAGATATACCATGATCTGGATAAATGAGAACCTTCAGACATATAGTATTCTTTTATCCAACCTTTTTAGAGTTCAGCCCCACCCGAGTCAAGTGCACAAGGCTTGTAGACAGGTTCAGTAAGTATTCTGCGTTTCCAAATGAAATTACAGCACCTTGTTGCATGACTTTGTACAGCAGAACTTTCTTCTATCTCTTTATTATTATCATAATACAGGATTTATATAGCACCAGCAGTTTGCGCAGCGCTTTACAAAATGAAGGTAGACATTACAGTTACAATACAATTTGGTAGAAGCAGGGGTGGACTGACCATTTGGAAACTCGAGCACTGTCCGAGGGCCCGGGGTCAGTAGGGGGCCCCATGAGATGCCCCTGGTACCTTTTTCATAGGCTTTTTTGAGTTTTGGCAAGGACACAGGGGCCCCGTGATCCCCTATTGCCTGGGGGCCCCATGAGTTGTCAGTCCGCCCCTGGGTAGAAGAGGAAACAGAGGGCCCTGCTTGTTAGAGCTTACAATCTAGGAGGAAGGCTTGAGTGATACAAATGGTAAAAGCTGTGGGAGGATGAGCTGATGGAGGAAAATAAAAGGCAGTTTACTAAGTAGAAGCAGGATAGGCTTCTTTAAAGAGTAAGGTTTTCAGAGATTGTCTAAAAAGTGGATAGATTAGGAGATAGCCAGACAGATTGGGGTAGGGAGTTCCATAGGATGGGAGCAATTAGAGCCTGCAAAGAGCCTACAAGGGGCAAGTGTAAAAAAAACCCTGACTGCACAGCTGCAGGCTTGGGAACAGGTGTTCCTGACCAAAAAAGTCTAAGTGGATCTAAACTTTTTTGAGATAGATAAAAAATAACCAAAGGGCTCAAGTATCTTTCATGGACCAAACACTGCTCTGTGTCTAAAGGTGGATAGATTAGGAGATAGCCGGACAGACTGGGGTAGGGAGTTCCATAGAATGGGAGTAATTAGAGCCTACAAAGAGCCTACAAGGGGCAGGGGCAAAAAAAAAAAAAATCCTGACCTGCACGTTTGCAGGCTTGGGAACAGGGACCAAACACTGCTCTAGGTTTCCTTCAGTGTTGCTCCCATAACCAACAGCGTAGACATTTGGTCATGTGATTTTAGGTAATCCTCATTTCTTTGCATGTTTCCAAATAACAGACTTTTTATATGATTAATACTAGAGGGAACATGGAGTATTATTTTCTCCAGGAAAGGAAAAGTATTGTTTGCTATCAGCTCTCCAAAGCACAAAAGCCAATGGGTCAGGATAGCAGTCAGGCAACTAGTCTTTTTAGGGTACACCGATCCTTATGAAGAAATGAGATATTCATGTCAACCGACAACTACAAAGAAAGATCATGATTGTATATTGCAGCAAGTCAATGTATATTTTATAAATACCCATCCATGTTGATCTCCTGGGAGTTTGTGGGACGGCTGTGGTTCATGCTGAGGTGTTGGAATGCTGTAGAAGAATTAATATTTTCTCTCTATCTGATATAATGTGGTGATAATTTTGGCTCCAGTTTGGCTCCGATGTGGAACGCTGGTCATCTCAGGGGTGTCCCGTTGTATTGACCCCCCACCGCTTTGCTACAAATTATGGCAATCTCTTTTGGTGCTATATGGATTCATCTACAATATGATATCCTCCAGGGACAAATCGTTAATTACGGGTTTCCATCTGTGCAGAAGCTTCTGCGGCTTCCTTTTGTTTATATGCTCCCTAGAGCCTCCGATAGAAACTGGGCCCTGTATGGATGCAGGATTTAAAATTTCTTCTAGAACATATAATCCTGAAGAAGATTCTTAACCACTTCAAGTCTGGACACTTTCACCCCCTCTCAGTCCATGCCAATTTTCAGTTTTCAGTGCTATCACACTTTGAATGACAATTGAGCAGTCATGCAGCACTGTACCCAAATACATTTTTTTGCATTTTTTGAGACAGATAAAACTTTATTTTGGTGGTATTTGTTCACACTGGGATTTTTTATTTTTTTGCTATATATATGAAAAAATCCAAACATTTTGAAAAAAAGGTGTTTTTCTTATATAATTTTGAAAATAATCTTTCTTCATAAATCTTGGCCAAAATGTATTCATCTATCTTTTTAGTAACAAAAAAAAAAAATAACCCAAATTAGTTTATAACCAAAAATTATAATTTTTCAAAAGATTTTTACATTTTCATTTCATTTTTTTATATGATTATTTATGGGTTTTTTTTTTCCTAACATACTGTCACCCTAGCAGTACAGTGTCACCATGGTTGCAAAGTCAAGGTTCAAATATTTGTAAGCAACTCAGTACTGATACTCTAGCTTCATTCTTTAAAAAACACACATTTTTATCCGCAATACAAAAAATGTAAAATATGCTGCCAACTATGGCACAATCTGAATATTTCATCTGCACAATCTGAATATTAGTTTCTCTGTGTTGTGTTGCCAGTCCTCGGGGCCAAATTTCAATAAAATTCCCCTAAGGAAGCTTTCATGAAGCCATACCTATGGCTAAAAACACTTTCACCCGCACCGCACTAAACACCTCCCGGCTTTATTTTATAATGTAGAGCGAATTGCAGTAACCCACAACAATCAGATTGTATTTTACTCTTACAATGAAGAAAGAGTTGAATGCTGATTGGTTGACATAGGTTACTCCATGGCAGGGGCGGACTGACAACTCATTGGGCCCCCAGGCAATAGGGGATCATGGGGCCCCTGTGTCCTTGCCCAAACTCAAAAAAGCCTATGAAAAAGGTACCAGGGGCATCTCATGGGGCCCCCTACTAACCCCGGGCCTCGGGCAGTTCCAAAAGGTCAGTCCGCCCCTGCTCCATGGACACATTCCATTAGTGGTGCAGTCAACAGTTTTGTACTTACGTCTGAATGGAGAATGTATTGGGATTTTCACATGCAAGTTTATATGGTAAAGTAAAGGCCACAGCTTGGTTTTCTCTGGTTCAGCTGATGGACAGAATAAAAGGAAAATAAATTGATTCTCCCATCCAGATTAACATGTCAATGGAGGAGTCTCCAAAGCCAGCTATTGTATTCTTGCGGTTGCCTTATTAAACTCAAAAGCAAACATTTATTTTTTTGCAGCTTACCAATTAGATGTGATGGCTGCATTAGTTTTCTTTTTTAGGCTCTCTTTTATTTTCACCTGGTGATCTGGCCAATAAGTCTGCTTTCAAACAGAAAAAGCTGTCCTGCAGACGTAGCAATTATGGGGTTGAGACAAACCATTTACTAACAGGGTTTCTTACATTGATCAACTTTTATTTGTAAAACTGTTATCCCTGAAAGAATGAAAGTAACTGAATGAAGAGCTACTGTAGCTCAAACTGCAGACAAAGTTATAAAGTGTTACTAAACCCAGGACCCTGCATTCATTATATCTGGTCTCCCCGGACCCTGCATTCACTATATCTGGTCTCCCTGGACCCTGCATTCACTATATCTGGTCTCCCCGGACCCTGCATTCACTATATCTGGTCTCCCCGGACCCTGCATTCACTATATCTGGTCTCCCCAGACCCTGCATTCACTATATCTGGTCTCCCCAGACCCTGCATTCACTATCTCTGGTCTCCCCGGACCCTGCATTCACTATATCTGGTCTCCCCGGACCCTGCATTCACTATATCTTGTCTCCCACAGTACACACAACATGGGAATGCAATTATTTTAGTAAATATAAACTGCTAAACACCTTTTCTCATCAGCAGAAGATATCAGTCTTGTGACTCCTATCAGTGTCCGGCTGAGCACTGGTTAAAGCTTGTAGGAGGAGTTTCTATTCTGCTCTGACTATCCTATGAGACTGTATGACCCCTGACCCTCTGTCTCGACAGCGCTGATTGGCTCTGTGCTGATCACGTGCACCCTCCCAAACCAAAAAAATAAAAATCTCTAGCAATACACACTAAACTGAGCATGTGCAGAGTGTCTCCTAGAGCTCTGTACTACCAGCGGATGGATTGGGGACAGTAGAAGGGGAGGATCAGAAAAGACAGGATCAAAAAGCCTTTTCACAAAATGTGGAGGATTAACCCCTTCGGTTCCACAGTGAGTATGACAAGCATGCTTTCCTGCATATACAGACTGATTTTACTGTTGTGGGTCTAGTAATACTCTAATGCTTGTGTCAGAACACACAGTGCATCCCAGCTTGTTGTATACGGGGCTGTATAGCTGCAGACCATTCAGGGTGCCCATGCTGACCTGTGTCCAGAGCCAAAAGATCCTACAATGGTATGTGAGCATCAGAACTGGACCACGGAGCAATGGAAGAAGGTGCCCTGGTCTGATGTTTTGAGGAACACAACAACAAGTTTGATGTGTTGACTTGACCTCCAAATTCTCCAGATCTCAAATCCAATTGAGCATCTGCGGGATGTGCTGGAAAAACAAGTCTGACCCATAGAGACCCCACATAGCAGGACCACTCCACCTTATAGGACTTAAAGGATCTGCTACTGACGGCTTGGTGCCAGATACCACAGCATGCCTTCAGAGGTCTAATGGAGTCCATGCCTCCACGGTTATGGTTAGTGGTCATGATGGTATGGTTGATCGGCATATATCCTGCATTCCTTCGGTTCTTGTATATTTTTTCAACCACGGCTTCCTACATCCTGTCAGCGACAGATTCTCTTTAGGAAGGAATTCAAGTATGTTTGCAGAGACAATCTACTGGCTTGCCATACACAGATTTTACCTGCGAGAATCAAATAGCAAACACAAAAAGCTGTGCTTGGATTTTAGCACAAAAAGCCATCTTTGTTGTTGGTGTTTACATCTGGCAGAGCAGATGAATAGCGGCAGATGAAAGGCTCCTGGAACCGAAACGGCTGCTAAGTAAGAAATACGTTTCTTTTCTAACACAACAAACATGTTCTGCTTGAGATTTCTGCTAAAGCTCATTTTGTAAACACCATCCTTATCCCTTCCTCCTAGTTTCACAGTCCTCCGTAATCCAAACACTGGTGGAAGTAGCATCTTGGTGAACTGCTTTGCATTTCTGAAGAACGGCGTATGAAAATAAAGTCTGGAGGTCAAGCTAACAGCGGAGAAATCAGTGTTACAGAAGAACTCCGGGCAAGGGAAAAAACAATCATTTAATTCATATATACTTATTAAAACAATGGCCAAAGTTTGCTAAAGAAAAGGAGGCATCTGTTCAAGCACACAGAAATCTACTGACTACCAAAAGATGTGTAGCCATCAGAGTATTTACTGAGGCTCAGGAAGACCAGCAGCAAGCTGTGGTTCAGGCACTGAGCCCAGTGGAATTTCCAGTTGCCACTTGTCCTGTGCGGTCCAATAACACATTTGGGCCAGTGGATGGTATGGGTATGTACCAATGGACAATGTGCCTAAAACACTGGCATCTGAGCAAACACATGGAGAAACCACCAGCTCAAGACCTTGAGAGGTAAGGCTAGAGCTGCACTTTTAGCAGCCCAATTGCTTTACTAAATTGAGTAGCTATCATTTACTAAGCAGATGGAACAAATGGATCCCGATGGAGTAGGCTACACAAGTAACATGCAATAGCATTTAAAGGTACATTTTGAAAGACATTTTATTGGGACTATTGCTAAAATTAAACCACCTCTAATGATGGGTGTAACATGTATGGGTGGTGATGCATTAGTTAAAACTCTTACTTTCATTCATTCCAGAAATTACTATAAAGCTCACCATACATGGATTGCAATACGGCCAGTTCAGTTTCTTTGTAAATGCCACTTTTTCTGTAGCACATCCTACAGCAAGAATGGCAAACAAGAAACCCCCTAAAATGCGAACCCTTTGTATTTTTTTTTTTTTAAATGGCATGTTGTTGATTTTACAATATGCAATAACAGGTACAACACTTCATTGTACATAAAATGGTAAAAATACATCTTACTAGAGAAGACAATGTTTATAGAGACCTGTGGGTTGATCCATGGTGTCATAATACTACTGGTATGAATTTGAAGGGGTACCCTATTCAAAAAAAAAAAAAAAAAAAAAAAAAAAAAAAAACTGTGTGAGATCCCCCTAAAAAATCCATAACCCATTTTCCCTCAAACTACACCAGGCCACATGCCCTGCACTCATCATGTCCTTAACAACCATCAACAGTGGGAAGCTGTCACATGTAATAGAGGAAGCAATACGGCTATTACATATGATGTTTGGCTCCTGCCAAATGGGTAAATGTTCGGATGTTTGTTCGAATGTTTGAACAGCCAAAATTTGATCTGAACTTGTGATCTGATAGAATCTTGAGCTCATCCCTACTGTGCATGTCTGTTAACACTACCATAGGTATGAGTCCATGGATATAGCCTTAATAAAATGTTCCTCAGTGTCCAACCAAAATCAACGTTCTCAATAAATGTCCTCAAATGACTTCTTGATTCTTCAAGGCTTATACAGTGTTCAAAATAATAGCAGTGAGTTGAAAAAAGTGAATAAAGCTCAAAATCCTTCTAATAGCTTTTATTTCCATACACACAAATGCATTGGGAACATTACACATTCTATTCCAAATCAAAACATGAAGAAAAATATATCAAATTTGTGTTGTTCCTCTATGAAGAAGAATACAAACACTGCTATTTTTTTGAACAGTCTAATATTCACTTTTCTTCCATTTTTTTTTTTAAACTCAAACATTCACTATATAAACTGAAAAATGTTTGAAGATTTTGCTTTCCTTTGAATCACTTAATGAATATTTGGTTGTAGTCGCACTGTTTCTGAGAACTGCTGTACATCTGTGTTGCATGGAGTCACCCAACTTCTGGCCCTGTGAACAGGTATTCCAGCCCAGGATGATTGGACTACATTCCACAGTTCTTCTCTATTTCTTGGTTTTGCCCCAGAAACTGCATTTTTGATGTCACCCCACAAGTTTTCTATTGGATTAAGATCCGGGGATTGGGCTGGCCACTCCATAACGTCAATCTTGTTGGTCTGGAACCAAGATGTTGCACGTTTACTGGTGTGTTTGGGGTCGTTGTCTGGTTGGAACATCCATTTCAAGGGCATTTCCTCTTCAGCATAAGGCAGCATGACCTCTTCAAGTATTCTGATGTATTCAAACTGATCCATGATCCCTAGTATGCGATAAATAGGCCCAACAGCGAAGTATGAGAAACATCCCCATATCATGATGCTTGCACCACCATGCTTCACTGTCTTCACAGTGTACTGTGGCTTGAATTCAGTGTTTGGGGGTCGTCTGACAAACTGTCTCCGGCCACTAGACCCAAAAAGAACAATCTTACTTTCATCAGTCCACAAAATGTTGCGCCATTTCTCTTTAGGCCAGTCAATGTGCTCTTTGGCAAATTGTAACCTCTTCAGCACGTCTTTTTTTCAATAGTGGGACTTTTCGGGGGCTTCTTGCAGATAGCTTGGCTTCACATAGGCGTCTTCTAATTGTAACAGTCCTCACAGGTAACTTTACACCTTCTTTGATCTTCCTGGAGCTGATTGTTGGCTGAGTCCTTGCCATTTTGGCTATTCTATCTATTTGAATGGTAGTTTTTCGCTTTCTTCCACGTCTTTCAGGTTTTGGTTGCCATTTTAAAGCATTTGCGATCATTTTAGCTGAGCAGCCTATCATTTTCTGCACTTCTTTAATGTTTTTCCCTCTCCAATCAACTTTTTAATCAAGGTACGCTGTTCTTCTGAACAATGTCTGGAACAACCCATTTTCCTCAGAATTTCAGAGAGAAATGCACTGTAACCAGCATGTACAACATTTGCTGCCTTCCTTCCTTAAATAAAGGCAATAATTGCCACCTGTTTTTCAAAGAATGAATGACCTCACTAATAGAACTCCACACTGCTATTATTTTGAACGTGTCCCTTTCAATTAGTGATTCAATGACACAGAATCAGCAGCATGCATGTCATGACTGTTGGGTCTGTTGGATTTCTATTACTCTACTACACCTGCTAGTAAATTATTTGCCATTTAGAAATATCATTTCTACCAAAAACAGTGATTGATCAGGTTAGTGATCTCTGACTGCTATTATTTTGAACACAACTGTATGTTCTCAATTTATAAATTGTCAAAGTGATGTCCTCCTCTTCCTCTTGAACCCTCAAAAAAATGTATATAGGCCACACATAGTGCATTACCTTTGTCACATACTGATAACCAAACTACAAAGCACTCACATACAAAAGTGCTAAATACTCCACCAGGTGTCATTCCACATGTGATATCCATAATTCCTACTCTTACCCTCTAAGAATAGATCGCTCGCTCAAAATGAATTTTCAACAAGTGAATTGTTCTTCCAAAAATTATTGCTCATGGACCACCATTCACTCCAAGAAATTGAATTGCAAATAGTGTGATAACTTTCAAATCGTGCCACTCGGTGCTTCCTTAATATCAAACCAGTGACCACCAATTACATGAGATAAAAAATACTCCACCACCTTACAGTCCATGCACCTTACCAGACTGCAAAGAAAACAAGCTTTCAGCAAATGGGATGCTCTCCAACCATTATCTCTCTTGTCACAATGCCAAGACAAAAAGAGAATGGGCAACCACCACATATCATATCAAGGCAATCAAATTTATTAGGTCCAAAAGCACTTACACATGTAAGATGTACATCAGGTTGGTATACA